ATTAGGATTTTTAAAAAATAAATCTTATCCCAACCCAATCCTTCTTCAAATACAACACTCGACTAATTTTTGCACGAAGTGAGAAAGATGGTCGGGCGTTTGATACCCTGCTTGGCGTTTTGAACGTGGCCAGCGCCCACCCGACACCCAAGAAAAAGCACTTGGGAGTAGTTGTTTTATACTATCAGAAAGAAAAGCCCAAAAAGAGAGAGAGAGAGAGACGCGGCTAAAACGGGTCCGGCCGCTTGTCCGAATATTAAACTCTGGGAATGGGGGGAAAAGGCCTATCTCTTTCTTTTGCCTGTTTGTACATTTTTAGTCCACGCGGTTTTTGGGGAAAAAAACCCCAAAACCCTCGGATTTAAAACCCCGCTCTCAGGCTCTCTTCTCCACCAGGCCCAGACGACCTTACACGTGGGAGAGGAGGAGCGGGACGCCGCTCGTCTGAACAGCCTTTGGCACCGGGATTTGCGCCGTCTTTTTCCACTTCGGTGACCAAAAATGTGATTTTTCAGAGAAAACTTAAAAAGATGATCTTACGAAAGTTGCGGAAGAGCCGGCGCTGGAAAACAGAAGGCGTCGAGGGAAAACCCTGATCGCTTTTTATTTTATTTATAAGATAGGTGTTTTTTTAAAAAAAAAAACTTAATTATTATTTTTTTCATCTTAAACCCATTCGGGATCTACTGCGGGGACTTTTGACCTGCATCCATTCCGAAAACGCAGCTCATTAAAATAAAACGCTAAACGCCCCCGGTAAAGCAGACACGGATTATTTATGGGGTAAATACAATTAGGCGAGAGACAAACCAACTACTTTAACCTCTTATTATAGGGTTCAAGGCCGATAATAATAATAAAAAAAGCGTCTAAGTTATAGCGTTAAGCTGGAGAGGAGGGCGCCTTCCTTGCCGCGTAGGCTGCTTGGCTGTAAATTTTAAATATCCATCCGTTTTTCATTGTTTTACTCCCCGAGCAAATCACAACCTCCACACCCATTATTTTCCTTCGAACTTAATTGCCCGTGTTTTGTTTCAGTTTTGCTGGTGTTTGTTTGTTTAGAGGACTTTTTTCGAGTGTTAGGGTAAACAGCAAAGTTAACATGCAGAGTTTGGACAACTCGGATGGGCTTATATGGCAAGGTCTGGATAGCTGCTCTTTACTTTTATTTTATTTTATTTTTTTCAATATTGGAAAGGTGGGAATCCCGAATAGATTTTTTTTTAAAAAAAAATAAATCTGCGGCTGCAAATCAGATCAGGGAATTCAAGAAAATTAAAACCACGTCTGAAGTTTGCAGCCCCCGCCTCCCATTTCTTTTTCTGAACCGATCATTCTCAGCAGAAGGGGAAACCACGAACAAGCCAACTCACGCTAATGAGGTCAGCAAAGCAGAACATGCCAACTTAATAACAGCGATCATATTCAGTAGTAACGATCGGAGTTTCCCTATAGTCGTCTCGTCTCTCTCTCTGCCTTTCGTTTTGTTTCTGGAGGGGGAAATGCAGAGAGACCAGTAGGGGGCGCAGTAAGCCTATGCCAAAACCCCCGATCAGAAACTTCAGCGCGCCCTTCCAGGCGTTTCTCCTTTTGTGTTATTTCCAAATAACTTTTCCGGTTGTGGGCCTCTTCGCTATGTTTCTGAGCTTTACCTACCTTTAAAGACATCAATAATTTCAGAGGTCTGAGAGGCGTCTCGGGATACCCCCCCAAAAAAAAAAAAAAACGAAAAGAAAGAGAAACCCCAACACCTTTTCTATATTATTATTATTTTTAACCTTCCATTTGCTTGAAACTTAAAAACAAAGTTCAGAAGCTTTTAAAAAAAATGGGTGAAAACTATATCGATTTCTGTAAGTTTAAGCACCAGCTGTCGGGAAAAATCCCCTCCCGTGGAAATGGACGCGGGTGGGTGGGGGGGAAAGGCAGCAAGAAAATAATTATAGCGGGGGAAGAAGGGGGATTTGGGGGGGGCAAATAAAACCCTTCCCCCTCCCCTCTCCTCCCGAGTTCAGAATAAAATGTGCTCGCCAGTCAATCCGGCTATGTTTTGCCTTTTTTTTTTTTTTCAGAGAGACGAATCCTGCACGTTTTAAGCAGTTCGTGTAGCAAACATGGCTGAATATTTATTTCTCTTTTTATCGCTGTTCCTCTCTTTCCATCCCCTCCCCGCTTCTTTCGTGGTATTTTAAGTGCGTTTTCACCCCACCCCACCCCCCACACAACGATCCCACCAACACAAGAGCCTGGCGGAAATAAACTTAGCTGGCGCTTTTGTTTAGCAGCTTGTTACTGACAGCAAAAAAAAAAAACCAAACCAAACCAAAACAAAACTACCTATTTGTAACGGTTGTGCTGTCCAGGGCTCTCACCTCTTGAACCTTCTCTCTCCCCCACCCCCGCCCCTCCCGTCACATCTCTGGTTGCAAAAAAAAAAATAGAAGCTTCGCCGCGAACAGGATTGCGCGATCCCGGCTGGCGCGCTCTCGTTTCCCCGGAGCATCCCCGAATTGGCTCTCGTCCCCCGCACCCCGCGTCCCCTCCCCAAAAAATATCTCGTCGGCGTTTCACTTCTCCTTTGCTTTTCTCGGCCTGCTCCTATTGTACCTGCGCACCTGCTTTCTAAGCCTTACGGGGTATTCTCTCTCTCTCTCTCTCTCTCTCTGTGTGTACGTTGAGAAGGAATAATGCTGCACTTTAAAATTGCAGGGGGAAGAAAAATGTTTAAAGGCCCGCGGGGGGCGGCGGGGGGGGGAAGGAAGGAAGGAAGGAAGGAGGGAGGGAGGAGAGAAACGCCTTTATGCTTCCAGTTCCAGGGAGCGCGCGTGTGAGCGTGAGTGGGTTTTATTGAATCTCTTCCCTTTTCGCTTTGTGGAAGAAAAAGAGGCAAGGGGGGAGGAGGGAGAGAAGAGAAGAGCCCCCCCCCCCGCCTCGGGTTGCGGGAGAGAAACCGCACTTGTTGTGCTTCTTGCCTGCTTCCAAATGTCTGGTGGAGAAAATCGGGTGTCCAGGAAGGGAGCCCCCAGCGCGCAGCTCGGCGTGGCTTCCAGCCGTGGAATTGGGGGCGGGGGTGGGGGCTGGCGGCCGTCGGGGAAGTGGGGGGGAAACTACCCCGCGTCTATCGCAAGTCGTTACTTGGGCATAAGTTTCGGGCTTCCAGCCAGTTGGACAGAGATGGAAAGGGACACGCGGAATCGCGACTGGACCGGCAGGTGACAGAAGATCGCCTGTGGGCGGCGATCTAGGAGAAGGGCTAAGAGGCCTGAGGTTGGACGCCCTCGGAGAGGGGAGCCCAACCTCACGTGCTGGGAGACGGGTGCGCAGCGCCACCCTAAAGGGGAACTTAGCACGAGGATCTGGGACAGGACAGGTCGCCTTTGCCAACGGTTGCTATTCTAGGAGAGAGATCAACCCAGTTTGTTTCCCCAGTACGTGGCTCTCTTCTTAGATTCCTTAGACCAGGGGTCTCCAACCTTGGCAACTTGAAGCCTGGAGGACTTCCAACTCCCAGAATTCCCCAGTCAGCTGGCTGGGGAATTCTGGGAGTTGAAGTCCGCCAGGCTTTAAGTTGCCAAGGTTGGAGACCCCTGCCTTAGACCGCAAGTCCCTCCCCTCTTTGCCCTGCGGGGATGATGCATTCTGTGGGGAATCAGCCGCCGGGAATAACCTCCAGCCTACTCCCAGATCTTGTGCCGGTCCGACGATCGGGGATCCCTTCCCCCCGGGGGGATCTCTGAGGAGGCCTAGCTAGAGACGACCCCTCTTGCCTGTTATCGGAAAGCCAGACCCTGTTTTCGCAAGGGGCGGAAGCAACCACGCTTTAAAAAAGTAGTGCAACTTTTCTTCTCTCTCCCTCTCTCCCTTTTTCTCTTTCTTTACATCCTTCTTTCCTTCCTTTCCTTCTCTCTCTCTCTCTCTCTCTTTCTTTCTTTTTTGTAAGGCGCCACCAACTTTGCAGCCGAGCAGGCCTTCCTCGGAGGGGGCGCGTTGTTTTTGCTTTTTTTTTAAAAAAAAATGTAGCCACAATGCTGTTTACACACTTCCTCCGCGAGGCGTGTGTGACCTGTTGCTCGTAAGAGGCGCTCCGAGGGGCCCGCGGGGAAGCGCTCTCGCCTCCTCCCAAGGCCCGCCTCCCGCCTGCCCGCTTTCTCTCCTTCCAACCCCCCCCCACGCGCCCCCCAACACGAGCCGAGCCGAGCCGAGCCGAGCCGTCCCGGCTGGCGCGCGCGGGAAGCCCCTCCCCTTTTCATGCAAAACTCGCCGGGGAGACTAGTCTTCAGTGGAGGAGCCGGAGCGCGCTGATTGGCCGGGGCGGACGCATTTATTCCCTGACAAGCCCCCCATCACATGGATGGGTTGTCTATTAACTTGTTCAAAAAAGTATCCGGAGTTGTCAAGGCAGGGAGAGAAAGAGAGAGAGAGAGAAAGAAAGAAAGAAAGAGAGAGAGAGAGAGAAAGAGAGGAGAGAGGGAGACCAGGGAGAGGGAGAGGGTTTGGCGGGGGGTGGGGGCCAGCACAACAAAGCCCAGCCAAAGAGGGACGGGGGGCAACAAGGACCCGGGCTGGTTCCTTAAGACTCCGAGCTCCGGTGAGTAGGGGGAGGGGGGCAAGATTGCAAGGAGAGGCGGCCGAAAGAGGGGAGACGCCGGCGGCCGGTTCTTGGAAGAAGTTTGTCCCTGCAGAGACGCTCCGATCCAGCCTCCTTTGTTATGAAGCGCCGCGAATAACCGTCGTCCGAGAGAGCTGCCGTCGCCGATCTTCCTTGCTGTTGGTGCCGTCGCCGGCCGGCCAGTTGAAGGCGATCCCGGCGCGGGTCCCCCTCGGCGGAGTTTGGTGCTGGGGGGGGCAGCGCTCCCCTCCCGGAGAAGCCCAGCCCGGTACGGGACACCCTTTTGCTCCTGACTGGCTTCCTCGCTCTTCCTTGGCGGCTCCTCGCAGCTGGCTGGTTTGGCTGGGCTGGCCGGCAGGCAGGCAGGCGGGCAGGCAGTGGGGGGGCTGCTGTTTGTTGCTGCTTGTTGCCGCCGCCGCCGCCTCTTGGACTCCGGCCGGGCGGGGGAAAGAGGAGGCAGCGACCCGTCGGACTTCTTCGCCCCTCGCGGGGGATCCCCCCCCCCCTGTATGAGCTCCGGTTGCCTCTAACCGCCCGTCCCCGGGTTGCTGGGCGAACCTCGCCGCTGCTGCGCGCTCCCCCGCCGCCGCCGGCACCCCAACAACCGCTTGAATGTACAACATGATGGAAAGCGACCTGAAGCCTCCCGCCCCCCAGGCGACTCCGGGGGGAGGCCCGGGAGGGAACGGCAACGCCGGCGGGGCCAACAGCCAGAAGAACAGCCCCGACCGGGTCAAAAGACCCATGAACGCTTTCATGGTGTGGTCCCGAGGCCAAAGGCGGAAGATGGCCCAGGAGAACCCCAAGATGCACAACTCGGAGATCAGCAAGCGCCTGGGGGCCGAGTGGAAACTTTTATCCGAGGCCGAGAAGAGACCCTTCATCGACGAGGCCAAGCGGCTGCGCGCCCTGCACATGAAGGAACACCCGGATTATAAATACAGGCCCCGGCGGAAAACCAAGACTTTGATGAAGAAGGATAAGTACACGCTGCCCGGAGGGCTCCTGGCGCCGGGCTCCAACTCCATGGCCGCGGGAGTCGGCGTGGGGGCTCCGCTGGGCGCCGCCGGCGTCAACCAGAGGATGGACAGCTACGCGCACATGAACGGCTGGACCAACGGCGGCTACGGCATGATGCAGGAACAGCTCGGCTACCCGCAGCACCCGGGGCTCAACGCCCACAACGCCGCCGCCGCCGCCGCCGCCGCCCAGATGCAGCCCATGCACCGTTACGACGTGAGCGCCCTGCAGTACAACTCCATGACCGGCTCCCAGACCTACATGAACGGCTCGCCCACCTACAGCACCATGTCCTACGCGCAGCAAGCCACCCCGGCCATGGGGCTGAGCTCCATGGGCTCCGGGGTCAAGACGGAGTCCAGCTCCAGCCCGCCCGTGGTCACGTCCTCTTCCCACTCCAGAGCTCCCTGCCAAGGCGGAGACCTCCGGGACATGATCAGCATGTACCTGCCCGGAGCCGAGGTGGCGGAGACGGCCGCCCCCAGCAGACTGCACATGTCGCAGCATTACCAGAACGCACCTGTGCCAGGAGCGGCGATAAACGGCACGCTGCCTCTGTCCCACATGTAAGAGACCCAGGGGGCGGCCCGGGCGGGCGGAGCGGGTGGGGGATGGGGCGGCTCGGCAGGAAGGAGCGCGAGAAACCCGAAATTCAAGCAAGACGAAACTTTTCTTAGCGATGTTGGACTCTTCTGCCTTTCTCCCCTCCCCCTCCCTCTCCCTCTTCTTCCTCTCCTCTTTTTTTCTGGGGGGGGGGGGGCGGCGGCGGGGGTGGGGGCGCGGGCGGACACTATTTTTGTACAGAGAATAACTAGGTAGGGGGGAGAGCAGATCGCATACAAAAGGAAAAAAAAACCAGAAAGGGAAAGAAAAACAAATCCACAACCTAATAATAATAATAATAATATTAATAATAATAATAACCCAACCAGGAACTTGTACAGGAACTACCCCCACCCCTCCTCCTCCTCTCCGCTTGGAGAGGGATCAACTCCACTCAACTTGTTTTGACCCACCAAACAAACATTTCTCTTCCCCCGCCCTGCCATCCAGTTCCAGTAAAAAAAAAAAAAAAGGTACTTTGCAAGAAAAAAAAAAGTTTTTTTTTAAATAAATAAAAAAAAAGTTTTTATTCCTATTCTTTAGAACTAGTCTCCAGAAAGAGAGACGTAGGAAAGAGGAGGGAAAGGGGGGATGGGAAATGTTTTAATATTTGCAAGCAACTTTTGTACAGTATTTATCAAAACAAACATGGCAATCAAAAAAAAGTTCATTGTTTATATTAAAAAGAGAGACAGAAGGGGGAGGGGAACCCCCCCCTAAGCATTTGCCAATTATTTTTAAAATACAACAAAGACTGCTTATGATGCTGTAGTGATTGCAAATGAATTTATAGCAGCAACACACACACACACACACAAATAAGGAAGTGAATTTTACTTTAAAACGAAGATCTGGGCATTTTAATTGTTTTAGCAAATTGTACAAACAGCAAAAAAAAAATTAAATAGAATAAGTAATTGCATACCACTGAACTGTTTTGTTTTTGTTTTTAATAAAAAGGGGCAACAGTTTAGGGTGTACTAAATTTTTTTTACACATTGTTAAAAACAAACAAACCTTGTCTTGCAGATCCACATACTTTGTTAATTTAAAATAGCCCTTTTTTGTTTCCAAACGTTATCCTGTTTGGCTAAAAGGACAACAAAAGAGCAACCTAAAACTGTGTTTGAAACATTTTCTTATGGTTTGTAATATTTCTGTAAATTTATTGTGATGACATTTTAAGTTCTTTTATTTCCCCCCCCCCTCTTCTCATTTCCAGTAGTTGTACTTTAAAACTCGGCTGTGTATTATCTGAAATCAGTCTGGCAACAGTCCTTCATATATTTATATATACATATGTGTGTAGGTATGAACACACACGAGAATATGTATATATACCCATATATATATATATATATATTTGAACTAATACCATCCTTTTAAACAGGTTCATATTCAACCTCAGTTTTTACACCATTATACACAGTTTGAGATAAATAAATTTTTGAAATATGGACACTGAAATTACATTCGAGTCTTTGATTTATTTTTACAAGCAGGATGCACTTTATTCACTCATTTATTCATTTAGTTGTTGCTGTTTTGTTTTTGTTTTTAAAAAAAGCACCAGTCCAATTTGGTCAAGGTTTTGTCGTGGTGTATGCTGTGGGGTTAAATGATTTTAGCATAGCATCAAACTGCTGCAAAGTGAGGGCAAGCCCCGCAGCCTGCTCTTCCAGGGTCCTTTATAACTCGAACTACTTTTTTTAATGAAAAGGAAAACGGCATTTCAAAAATCCACCGAACAACGAGCGATCGATCGGCGTATGAAATGATCATTCTTTTCACCAAAGGTAAAATGCACCTAAGCGGCTCGCTTTCCTGGCTTTCGCTCTTCGTAATTCTCGGAGAAGGTGGCAATTGAAAAGGTTGCTTGTTAAATTACGATAGGATATGATGGTGGCGACGGCGTTGTTGTTGCGGTGGCGGTGGCGGTGGTTAATTCCTCCGGCGTGGAAAAGGTATCTTGGCGGCGTTTGCGGCGGGGGTGGGGGGGAGAAGCGACCACTTGTTGCAAAATGCCCCCCCCCCAAAAAAACCCCTCTTCCCTCGGAAATGGGCTGCTTGGCCCAGATCCGAAAGAAGGAAAACAAAAGAAAAAACCCAGGCAGAGAGGCGGCTGGTTCCCTTCGCTTCCTTCTCTTCTCCTCCGTCGCCTCGCGGAAGCAGGATGTGAAAAGGGCGAAGGGGGCTCGGCGCTGCGAGCTCTGGCTCGCCGTAGAGCGGATCCCGGCGTTGGGGCGGGCGGGGGCAGCACCAGCATCACCCTTCCGGGCTAGTATATTTCGACATTGCAGCGGTGAGGTTGAGGAGGTCTGGGGGCGATCAGGGGGCCCTTAGCTTTCTTTTTCTCCTTTTCTTTTTTTTCCAGGGCAAGGGGTAAACGGGTATTTTAGGAACGCGTGACATGGGAGCTGCGTGCGTGCCTGTGTGTTGCGGAAGGAAGGAAAGAGAAGGAAGGAAAGAAAGAAGGAAAGAAAGAGAAAGAACAAAGGAAGAAAGGAAGGAGGAAAGGAAGAAAAGAAAGCGAAAGGAGGAAGGAGGAAGGGAAGGAAAGAAAGAACGAAGGAAGGAAGGAAGGAGGGATGGAAGAAAGGGAGGAGGGAAGGAAGGAAGGAAAGAAAGAAGGAAGAAAGGAAGGAAGGAAGGAAGGAAGGAAGGAAGGAAGGAGAGAAAGGAAGGAGTGGAACGTAAATAGAAGCTATCACGACGTAAATCACCTACAGGGCTGTAACGCTCTAAGTTTTTTTTTTCTGCAAAGCCCCCTTTCGGCTCCTCCTATTTCTTCCTTCGTCCACGAGCCTGTTGCAATAATAATAATTTTTAAAAAGCGGCTGCGAATCTCCTCCTCTCCCCCTCCCCTCCAGTTCTAAAAAAATCTCAGTTAAATAGACAGCATCGACAGCTGGCGAACGTGGTTCTTGGTTAACTTTTTCCTTTTGGTTTTGCTCTGCCTTCAGAGGTTTCTGTTTGAAAAAGTGGGGCAACGGGGTTCCTTTCGAAGGAAGTCGGCCCTAGGTTTCCTTCCCTCTTCCCAGACCCTTCGGTCGGGCAGCGGCGGCGCACCTGCTGGAGTAGCACTCTGGCAAGCCGTGGAAAGGAAAGACTCAAATGCTGGTCCCCACCCCAATCTCTTGTAGGAAAGTCGATTTAAATGCATCCCGGGTTCTTGCTTTCGGGGTTTGGTTGGGAGAAAAAATCTTTGGACTGGGGTGCCTGGCTTCAGAAGTGCTTAATCTTGTCCTTGCGCGCCTCTATCCCAACTGGCGCAGAGGCAAAGACATTTCCCCCACTTAAAAAACTCCCCGGCCTGTAGGATTTTATTTCCTCCGGCCTGTATTTATTATCTTCGGAGGATCTGAGCCTGACGACCAAGAGGAATAGACGGAGGCCTCTTAGGCCTCGGGTGAAAAGCAGAACGATTAGCTTTGGATAGGGAACCAGACTGGGAATATACCCTTCCCATGTTTCTCTTCCCAGCCATCCACTCACCCGCATTTAAATCCTGAGCGGTGGCCGTCCCTAGGAAGATTTCCTATTGGGAGTTATGTCATCCCGGGAGCCGGGAAATAAATGGCCTTTCTCCTTTCATTTCTTCCACCCTTCCTTTATTCCTTCCCTCCTGGCGTTTTATTTGCGGCCCGGTCTGCCACTTTCTTCCACTGGGCCGCCTAACTGATTTGAAGCCGGCAAGCTGGATCTGCCGACTAAATATATATATATATATATTCGGGTCCCCGTTTAAAAATTGCGGGGAAGACAATCAGGAAACGCCTGCATTATAGGGCGGGTCGAGCGTTTCTGGGTTTCTTCGCGCCTTTTTACCTGGGATTAAACCGGCCTTGGGGTGGGGTGTTTCAATACGAGGCTTTTAAAAGTGTTTCCACTTCGCCTCTTTTAAATGGATCTCGCAGCCCTTTTGGGCCTCCCGTTTGGGTGAATCCTACATTTTGCGAAATTGCGCTTGTGTTCGTCGGGGCCTTTCGCTTGTACCAGGCCTCTAAACGGGGAGGACCCGTTTATCTCCGCCGTTTAAGCGCCGTTTAAATCGACAGTCCTCGGTTTATTCTTCTCTCCTAACCGCAGGACAGAAACGTGTTGTCGGACATTCTTATCTCCCCCTTCCCAAAGTCTGTCATCTTTCTTAACGAACGCCGGAAAAGTGGAAGGAAGTGTTTCCACTTGTCATGGAATTGTAGCTGCGATTGCCTTTCCTTTTCGAGACTTCGAAAATCTAACTTTCTAGGTGGGTTTTCTCACTCACTCTCTTTCCCCCACACACACAGCCATAACCGTTGACAATCGGACAAAGGAAAAGTGTAGCCATTGTGCTTGTTTAGCTTGTTAGCTACACGTGGGGGAATGAGAAGTGAGGGGGTGAATCCGGCTTAACCAAACTAAACCCTCCCCCTCCCTCGATAGTGCGCGGGTCAAAGAAACCTCGCAAATTGTTTCTTGTAACCAAATATGCTTCTTGAAGTGGACAGCTTGTTTTCTCTTCCAAATGAGAGAGAGGGAGCCCGGAATTGGGAAATAATGGCACCGTTTTAAAAATAATAATAACACAACAAAGATAACAACGCACCACCCTCTCTCTCTCTCTCTCTCTCTCTCTCTGTATGTGTGTGTGTGTGTGTGTATTTAAGACCAAGTTCTCACTCTTGCAGATATTACCCAGGCATTTCCAAGGGCCCCGGTGGCCCACAGGAAAGTAAGCCCTACAGAAACGCTATCCATGCAAATCTTTGTCTTTCAACGGACTATTTAGCAAATGCAAACCAAGCCTCGAGATTTTTTTTTCCGTACGGTGCACCTTCGCTTAGCTTTCCTCTCTTCTCTCTCCCTCCCTCCCCCAACCGCATCCCCGTTTACTTTCTAGAATCTGTTCGGTTTTCGTTTCCCTTTTTTTCTTTAAAAACAACGACAACAGCGCCATTCAAGATCCTTTACGGAATAAGCAGAACCTCAGATCCTGGCTGAGCGGAACTTTTCTTGCCTTGGTTCTCTTGCGTTGGCCTGGTGGTGCTGATCACTGCTTTCATATCCTGGGCCAAAAGGCAGAGCCAGAAGGATGATGATGAAGAGATCCTCTCTAAATATATATATGTATGTATGTATATATGTATATATACACGTATGTACATAC